TTAGAATTGTACACACACAGCATTAAAGGACGCTCAGTCTCAGAATGCCGTTTCGTAAACGTTTGCCTTGGTTATGATTTAGCTGACTTGGCTGGGTCTACTGACATTGTACCAGATGTCACTTTTGATTGGTCTGTGGCACACATTGTGAAAGTGACGTGGTGCCTTTGGGCAATGATAATTTCCCTATCCATGCATGATTCGAAAAAATAAACCTATAAATTGAAGCGTTCCAATGGTACTGATATACTTGAGGCCAGCTAAATTTACAGGCTTTAATCTTCTTTCTTCCGAAGAGTAATCAGAAGAAAAAAAAAAATGGCATCACTCAAGGCTGACAAACCTTGTTGTCGTGAAACAGCTGCGCAGGCCAAGAAAGAGCCCGCCAAAGCTCCAGCAGTACCTTTGCCCTCCCTCAGCCCACTAATGGTTGAGCAGAAGCCCTCGAGCCTAAGAAGAAGTACATACCTCTTGATGTTTATTTATTTATTATTTATTTGAAGGTCAGGTCGGGTGCAGGCAGGGATAGTCATTTTCTCCTATCGTACTCCGCAGCCGCATCCCTTGCCCTGATTAAGAAAGGGGTGGGGATGGATTTCACTTCCCCGCCCTGCCCTGTTCACCCGAATCTGTCCCGCATTATATTTATTAAATATAATTATATATATAATTTATTTATTTTTCATTATAATAAAGTTGAAATACTAAAATATTATACTTAATATTAATTTTTATTCTTTTGGTCGAAGATAGAAGTTAGCATTCTACTCACTACATCCTAAGGCGCACCTACATGCCACTTGACCACAAGGGCCTCAAACAATTTTTATTCATTTATTTTCTATCTTATATAATATAATTTTATTAAGTATAAATTATTATTCATAATATATTATATTATCTATAATTTTTATAAATCCACCACAATCCCGATCCATGACATCCCTAGACCTGGAAGTCATGGGTTCGAGTCGCGGAAACAACTTCTCTGCTTGCAGGATAAGGCTGCGTCCATCAACCATTTTTCAAACCTCACAAATGCACTGGGTATGTCCTTTTATTTTATTTATTCATTTATCTAATTGTCATTTTGATGGTTTTTCTAGGTACCAAGCGTTACGCTAGCAAGCCAGTTGCCCCAAAGAAGAAATAAGAAGAACAAGGACGAATAGTGTTGGGCGTGACTTATCATATTCTATATATGAAGCTATGTAAACCAATTCATTCTTCTTATGTTTTCAATGTTGTGAGACACTAGCTTGTGATCCATATCTATGTAGAACCCTCTTTAGGCTCAGCCTAACTAAAAAAAATTATTTAAGGATGATTCTATTTGCCAACTTACGCATTATATGTGAATGTGATGCTCCATTGTTTTCTAAGAAGAAATATGATAGAAAAGAACTGTTACAAAACAATTCAATTCAAAAGAATAGAAGAATCACAAAGAAAGGAGAAATAATTCACATTTGTCCGATTTGAAACATAAATCCTACTGACAGACGCAGATCGAACAAAAAATAAACTGTTTATGATCATGCCAAGTTATGTTTCATTAGAATGATTCTCTTTCCATTGTACTTTGAAATGAGGTCATTTTAAGTGATAAACACAAATCAAACATATTTGAAAATCCAAGCAATGCCGTTATATCATTGCTTTCTATATTAGCCGCTAAAAAATCAACCATTCTCATCAATCGTCATCTCCACATATCCAATAATTCCTATAGAGTTTCTCTGATATATAGTGTTGGAAAATAATGGATTTTTAGTAACTTTAATTTCGAAATTAAAATGGATTCAACCGCTGGTTGAGGTGTGTCTGAGTGATTTTATATTTTCTTAAATGAAAAGGTTGCAATACAAAATAATGAACTGAAACCATTGAGTTTATAAATGAGAATTGTCTCATAAAGTGGGCATCAATAAGTTGGGCTTAGATTTGGACTTAACTTAGTTTGGACTGAGCCTAGCTTGTGCTTGTGCATATGCTGGTTGGTCTTGGACTTAATTTGAAGCTTGGGCTAAGCTATGTTGTGTTGGGCTTAGCTTGTGCCTGTGTTTGAGAATTTGACTTGGATCAAGTATGTGACCAACATTAGTATTCATTTTGTGACTCATCTAGTTGGTTTATTTAAATATCGTTATTATATATATATTATTATTTATTTATTTTGTATATATTAAGCACATGAGAAATGTAAGGTTTTGTACCTCTCAATTTTGATGATGGAGTTGATGACCATATTAGTGGCCATAGGTTTTCAACCTTTGTAACTCTAACCTTAATGGCTAGAGTTGGTAGCCTTGGTTAATGACATTTGATGGCTCTATTGATGTATAGCCTTCATGACTACTTGTATAATAGAGGCATTTCTCTTCCAACTTGGTAGGATAATTTTTGGAGAAATTTTTGATGGAAAATGGTGAAAGTGTTTTGAGACAAAAAAAGTTGGAGGTATTTTTTTTTTTACACCAAAGAAAATTTTTCCTATCTTCTTTGTTAACTCCTCTCTTTTGTTCTTGTTAGAAGAGTGCAACCATGTGGCAAATTCACTGCAACTATTTCAGAAGGTACTTTTGCATTAGCTGGTTTCGACCGTCGTATTCTAGGAGATAGACGCGGGTATTACCTCCAGTATCCATCGGGAGGCAGTGAATCTGTTTAAGAAAATTGTCTAGTGCAGGCTTTGATTTGCTCCTTTTCTTATATCATTTGTTCTTATTTTTCAAAAATTTAGTTTACAAAGATGAGTTCTAATATTTAGTATCCATGTTAATAATTTGTTTCTATTAGTAATATAGTCTAATTCATTATGTATTTCTAGTTGGTATTTTATTTTGTATTTTCATTCTTTAAATTTTAAAAAATTATCTCGTCATTTCTATTTAATTATTATATATATATATATATATATATTTCTTGTATTATTATAGAAAAATATAAACATATGGATGTTTTATAAACATGAAGAGTTTAGTAGCTAATCCTGGATCATGCTTCCAAGAAAAATACTATGTGTAAGTAAAAAGGTGCCTACATATCTTTCCATTTTATCTATATAAACTAGTAAGAAACTTACAATGATTTTGTTTTTGATTGGCACTGTTGATTAATTAACTCAGTCAATCAACACAATGTGGGATTTTTTGTACCCAAATTTCTGTCGTCTCTGTCTCAATACACTTTCAACTATAGGATCATGGCTTGAGATTCTTGTGCCTTTTTTACATAATCCTACAATTATGAGTGCATTGAGACAAAGAATAGAAGAATTTGTGATGCATGGTGTTGGCCATAGAGTTTCTGGAACTCACAGACTAACATGGCAAATGGAAAAAATCACTAGTAAATGAAGTTGGTACATGCTTAGAATAACGTGGAATTCGGTTGAGACATGGAAAATGACGCCACGATCATAACTCATCCACTTTGTCATGGCATACGATGGATTTTGGTCAATATTACAATGTTTAGGCCTCCCAATTTCACGATTTTGCCTTTTTTGAAAATATTTGTTTAATTAATTTCTTGATTTAGTAGAATCCATTTGAGACTAGGTTTTTTCCAAGACGTGTAATTTTTATTCTAGTTTCCAGATTTGAGGCTTAACTCAAATATTTCTATTTTTGATAATTTTTGTTTTCTTTGATTTAGACTTGATTAGTGAGTGTTATCTTTCTAGCTTATTTCCTATTGTATTTAGGCTGAATTCTTCTATAAATAATGGTTGTGAGCCTTAGAACATGTAACTTATTTTGACAGAATTAATATATTTTTAAAAGAGAGTATCTCTTTTATCAAATTCGATGGTTAATCTTTCAAATTCATGGTTAATCTTTGTGTTTGAGTTTTATCCCATTATTTCACTTGAAATAACGTTTCTACTGTTGAAAACCAAAAACCAAAACCAACCCACCCTCTGACTGACATACGCACACACCCACACACACCCAACTCACACTTTGAACCATTAAAATAATATAATTTTTATATATAATAATAATTTATAATAATAAATTATATAATTTTTATAATTTTCATAAATATAAATCATTTTTAGGTTATGGATGGTTTGATTTATCATTTAAGTCATTTATAAAAAAATTTACCTTTAAACCATACGTATGTAAATGTGAAGATGGGTTTACTGTAAATGTAAATGTGAAGATACGTATTAAATTATTTACATACGTATTAATTATAAATTTTTATAAATTATTTTTGAATAATACATACGTATTATAAAATGTGAAGATGGGTTTACTGTGAAAAATTTTAAATAAAAAATGTAAAGATTCAAATAATACATACGTATTATAAATTATTATAAATTTTTTTATAATACATACGTATTATAAATTATTTTTGGTAATTTATAAATTATTTTTGATTATAAAAATTGCAAAAATTATTTTTGATTACAAAATTTTTTACCCTTATATACGTGTTATAAATCAAACCATCCATAACCTAAAAATGATTTATATTTACGAAAATTATAAAAATTATATAATTTATTATTATATATAAAAATTATATTAAAAGCAATGCTTAGTGTGGGTTGGGTGTGTGTGGGTGTGTGCGTTTGTCAGAGGTGGGTTGGTTTTGGTGAATGTCTCAACAGTAAAAACGTTATTTGAAATAACGTTTTCTAAAAAAAAAAAAATTTATATGTACAGTGAAAGCGCTATTAGAAATAGCGTTTTTTTCGCAAAAAAATTTTGTGTAAAAAGCGTTGTTCTTAACAGCGTTTTCCTTGGGAAAAAAATTAACCCTAGAAGTGCTATTCGTAACAGCGACTTCTTAATCAAAGTCGCTATTTGTAATAGCGATTTTGCTGTTCATCTACTTTTGCGCTCCTAACAGTAAAAGCGCGAATAGTAATGACGCTTTAACTTAGTTTTGAAATTCCGTCAGAAGTTGGCCTAGTTTTGGAAATACAATGTAAAAAAGGCTTATATTGGAAAAAGTAAGTTTGTCACCAAAATAAAGGTGAAAGAAGGAAACAATGCAATAGTTCTAGCTACCATTCCTCCAAGGGCGTCGGTGTTCCCCAAATGTTTCACAGGGCGGTCGGCAATGGTGATTCTTTGGCAACGTCTTGAAAAGAGTTGGACGTTAGAATTGTACACACACAGCATTAAAGGACGCTCAGTCTCAGATGCCGTTTCGTAAACGTTTGCCTTGGTTATGATTTAGCTGACTTGGCTGGGTCTACTGACATTGTACCAGATGTCACTTTTTGATTGGTCTGTGGCACCACATTGTGAAAGTGACGTGGTGCCTTTGGGGCAATGAATAATTTCTCCTATCCATGGCATGATTCGAAAAAATAAACCTATAAATTGAAGCGTTCCAATGGTACTGATATACTTGAGGCCAGCTAAATTTACAGGCTTTAATCTCTTTTCTTCCGAAGAGTAATCAGAAGAAAAAAAAAAATGGCATCACTCAAGGCTGACAAACCTTGTTGTCGTGAAACAGCTGCGCAGGCCAAGAAAGAGCCCGCCAAAGCTCCAGCAGTACCTTTGCCCTCCCCTCAGCCCACTAAGATGGTTGAGCAGAAGCCCCTCGAGCCTAAGAAGAAGGTACATACCTCTTGATGTTTATTTATTTATTTATTTATTTGAAGGTCAGGTCGGGTGCAGCAGGGATAGTCATTTTCTCCTATCGTACTCCGCAGCCGCATCCCTTGCCCTGATTAAGAAATGGGGTGGGGATGGATTTCACTTCCCCCGCCCTGCCCTGTTCCACCCGAATCTGTCCCGATTATATTTATTAAATATAATTATATATATAATTTATTTATTTTTCATTATAATAAAGTTGAAATACTAAAATATTATACTTAATATTAATTTTTATTCTTTTGGTCGAAGATAGAAGTTAGCATTCTACTCACTACGTCCTAAGGCGCACCTACATGCCACTTGACCACAAGGACCTCAACAATTTTTATTCATTTATTTTCTATCTTATATAATATAATTTTTATTAAGTATAAATTATTATTCATAATATATTATATTATCTATAATTTTTATAAATCCACCACAATCCCGATCCATGACCATCCCTAGACCTGGAAGTCATGGGTTCGAGTCGCGGAAACAACTTCTCTGCTTGCAGGATAAGGCTGCGTCCATCAACCATTTTCCAGACCTCACAAATGCACTGGGGTATGTCCTTTTATTTTATTTTATTCATTTATCTAATTGTCATTTTGATGGTTTTTCTAGGTACCAAGCGTTACCGCTAGCAAGCCAGTTGCCCCAAAGAAGAAATAAGAAGAACAAGGACGAATAGTGTTGGGCGTGACTTATCATATTCTATATATGAAGCTATGTAAACCAATTCAGTTCTTCTTATGTTTGTCAATGTTGTGAGACACTAGCTTGTGATCCATATCTATGTAGAACCCTCTTTAGGCTCAGCCTAACTAAATAAAACTTATTTAAGGATGATTTCTCATTGCCAATCTTACGCAATTATGTGAATGTGATGCTCCATTGTTTTCTAAGAAGAAATATGATAGAAAAGAACTGTTACAAAACCAATTCAATTCAAGAAGAATAGAAGAATCCACAAAGAAAGTTGAAAATAATTCACATTTGTCCGATTTGAAACATAAATCCTACTGACAGACGCAGATCGAACAAAAAATAAACTGTTTGATGATCATGCCAAGTTATGTTTCATTAGAATGATTTCTCTTTCCATTGTACTTTGAAATGAGGTCATTTTAAGTGATAAACACAAATCAAACATATTTGAAAATCCAAGCAATGCCGTTATATCATTGCTTTCTATATTAGCCGCTAAAAAATCAACCATTCTCATCAATCGTCATCTCCACATATCCAATAATTCCTATAGAGTTTCTCTGATATATAGTGTTGGAAAATAATGGATTTTTAGTAACTTTAATTCGAAATTAAAATGGGATTCAACCGCTGGTTGAGGTGTGTCTGAGTGATTTTATATTTTCTTAAATGAAAAGGTTGCAATACAAAAATAATGAACTGAAACCATTGAGTTATAAATGAGAATTGTCTCATAAAGTGGGCATCAATAAAGTTGGGCTTAGATTTGGACTTAGCCTTAGTTTGGACTGAGCCTAGGCTTGTGCTTGTGCATATGCTGGGTTTGGTCTTGGACTTAATTTGAAGCTTGGGCTAAGCTATGTTGTGTTGGGCTTAGCTTGTGCCTGTGTTTGAGAATTTGACTTGGATCAAGTAGTGACCAAACATTAGTATTCATTTTGTGACTCATCTAGTTGGTTTATTTAAATATCGTTATATATATATATTTATTTATTTATTTATTTGTATATATTAAGCACATGAGAAATGTAAGGTTTTGTACCTCTCATATTTTGATGATGGAGTTGATGACCATATTAGTGGCCATAGGTTTTCAACCTTTGTAACTCTAACCTTAATGGCTAGAGTTGGTAGCCTTGGTTAATGACATTTGATGGCTCTATTGATGTATAGCCTTCATGACTACTTGTATAAATAGAGGCATTTCTCTTCCAACTTGGTAGGATAATTTTTGGAGAAATTTTTGATGGAAAATGGTGAAAGTGTTTTGAGACAAAAAAGTTGGAGGTATTTTTTTTTTTACACCAAAGAAAATTTTTCCTATCTTCTTTTGTTAACTCCTTCTTTGGTTCTTGTTAGAAAGAGTGCAACCATTGGCAAATTCACTGCAACTATTTAGAAGGTACTTTTGCATTAGCTGGTTTCGACCGTCGTATTCTAGGAGATAGACGCGGGTATACCTCCAGTATCCATCGGGAGGCAGTGAATCTGTTTTAAGAAAATTGTCTAGTGCAGGCTTTGATTTGCTCCTTTTCTTATCATTTGTTCTTATTTTTTCAAAAATTTAGTTTACAAAGATGAGTTCTAATATTTAGTTATCCATGTTAATAATTTGTTTCTATTAGTAATATAGTCTAATTCATTTATGTATTTCTAGTTGTGTATTTTATTTTGTATTTCATTCTTTAAATTTTAAAAAAATTATCTCGTCATTTCTATTTAATTTATTATATATATATATATATATATATTTCTTGTATTATTATAGAAAAATATAAACATATGGATGTTTTATAAACATGAAGAGGCTTTAGTAGCTAATCCTGGATCATGCTTCCAAGAAAATACTATGTGTAAGTAAAAAGGTGCCTACATATCTTTCCATTTTATCTATATAAACTAGTAAGAAACTTACAATGATTTTTGTTTTTGATTGGCACTGTCTGATTATTAACTCAGTCAATCAACACAATGTGGGATTTTTTGTACCCAAATTTCTGTCTCTCTGTCTCAATACACTTTCAACTATAGGATCATGGCTTGAGATTCTTGTGCCTTTTTTACATAATCCTACAATTATGAGTGCATTGAGACAAAGAAATAGAAGAATTTGTGATGCATGGTGTTTGGCCATAGAGTTTCTGGAACTCACAGACTAACATGGCAAATGGAAAAAATCACTAGTAAATGGAAGTTGGTACATGCTTAGAATAACGTGGAATTCGGTTGAGACATGGAAAATGACGCCACGATCAATACTCATCACTTTGTCATGGCATACAATGGATTTTGGCCAAATTACAATGTTTAGGCCTCCAATTTCACGATTTTGCCATTTTTGAAAATATTTGTTTAATTAATTTCTTGATTTAGTAGAATCCATTTGAGACTAGGTTTTTTCCAAGACGTGTAATTTTTATTCTACTTTCCAGATTTGAGCTTAACTCAAATATTTCTATTTTTGATAATTTTTGTGTTTTCTTTGATTTAGACTTGATTAGTGAGTGTTATCTTTTCTAGCTTATTTCCTATTGTATTTAGGGCTGATTCTTCTATAAATAATGGTTGTGAGCCTTAGAACAATGTAACTTATTTTGACAGAATTAATATATTTTTAAAAGAGAGTATCTCTTTTATCAAATTCATGGTTAATCTTTCAAATTCATGGTTAATCTTTGTGTTTGAGTTTTATCCCATTATTCTACTTGAAAAATCTAAAATTTTTGTAGATATTGATTTATGATTATGTATCAATTTTAAACAGTAAATAGCAATCCTAATCAAACAATCAAAGATAAATTGACACAACGATTTTACGTGAAAAAACTACAATTGGAGCACCTCCAATTGTGATAAAAAAATCACGGGTAAAAGCCACAAAACAGTCCACTAAGAAGACATTAAGGAATTATACAAGTGTACTCTCAATTATCTAGCAAATCCAGGCCCTAATCAAACCGACCCCTATGTGCCTCTTCCAGCCCTGTCTTCACCTCGGAATTGTCTTGTCCAACGTTGAATTCGACATCGAGCCACTCACTACGCCAAAATTGGCTTTAGCGACGGTTTTTTACCGCCGTTAAAGGCTCTAAAACTGCCGTTAAAGCCTTTAACGGCGGTATTAACGGCGGTTTTGTTACCGCCATTTATGCACATGTCGGAAGAAGTACAACCGTCGTAAAAAGGTAAATTATCGTCGTTAAAAGTCGACCAAAAACGGCGGTTTTTTACCACCATAAATAGGTTCAAATTTTTCAAAAAATAATTCTTTCTTCTTGCACTCCCCAAGTCTTGAACCCTCAACCTCTCATCCACCCACACTAACCACTCTACCATAGCCACTCTTCAAGAAATATATTCCCTAAATAAATATTTAAACATTACTTTTACTTTATTGTAGATGGTTTCGCCGGAGCTCACCGGAGTTTTGCCGGAGCACGCCGGAGTTTCGTTGGCAAAGACCACCGTCATTAACGGCGGTAATGATTGGGCATTAGTGACGGTTTTGTTACCGCTGTTAAAAGTGGGCATTAACGGCGGTTTTTTTAACGGCGGTAACAAAACTGCCGTTAATGATACCTTTAACGACGGTTTTCGTTACCGCCGTTAAAAAAACCGCTGTTAATGCCTTGTTTTGGCGTAGTGACTCCAGAATCTGCCAAAGCTTCAGGCCCATATTCCCCGGAATCCACCAAGGAATAACTCTCTCTTTGTGTATTGAATGAAAAAACAATCCTTTGATGTATACTTCTCAAACCATAAGTTAAACTCAAACAAATATCAAAGAAACTAACAAAGAAGCTCCAGAAGAAAATCTTAATATCCAAGAAGAAGATCTGGAAGCCGTACTCTAAAACCTGATAGAACCATATATTTATAGAAAACAGGGCCGCGATGGTCGCTCGAGCGAAGGAATGCTTGCTCGAGCAAGGAGACTAATACGCGTGTTTTTTCAAGTGTCTTCACTTAAGCCACCAAAGTGTTGCTCGAGCAAGAAATGCAACTTCTCAGTATTTTTACAGTCAGTGAAAACTTTTGGGACCAAACAACTTCGATTGAGCGCCATCTTAAGCGAACAAACAACTTTAATTGCATTTTTGCATTTTGCTTTGGGGGCGTTACCCCTCAACCCCGCCTGGGCGTTGCCCCAGACATACCAAGTGGCGCTGCCCCCTAGACCCCCGCAAGCTGACCGGTCAGCTCGATCCCTGACATTGTCAGCGAAGTGGCAAACATGATAGGATTAAGATCACAAACTCCTCTGCATAGGCACAATTCAGGTTGGATTCGCATCTAAAACTCATAATCTCATTGAAATAAAAGGTTGATAAAATTACAACTGAAAGGAGTTTTGTCAAACGGGATTGCCAAGAATAAAAACCTAACACTACACTATATCAATTTGGAATAAAGAATCTCTTAGCCACCAACACTTGGTTTGTTTCTCTGCAACATATATTAATGGCAACACTTAGTTTGTCTCTTTGCAACCAAAAGAAATAGTCTCATATATATTTGTTAACTAGAGGTATATTGAACTGTTTTTCTACTGTCATTTTAATCTGATATTGTGTGTGCTGATTTTTGACCACACTGCCAAACAGGGAACTCAGTTGGAGAGCACAAGCAGAATAAATTGGGCCAGAACAACCTGTCAAAGAAAGATAAGACTCCAGTAGTGGTTCGTGCACCCAGGGGCTCTCCAACGATCAAGTCAGTACTCAATTTATCTCTCAAAGATAGCTAATAGTGCTTAACTCGTAAGCCAGAATACAAAAAGCGTACCTTAAACCCACGATGGTGCCTTACTTTCATAGCCAGCACTAACTCGATCCCTGTAGAAGCCTAGCTTCAATGGACTCTGGCTCAATGCCCATCTTGGACTCCTAGCTAGATAAAGATAAACTCTCCTTATCCGCTCATCTCAGATTTTGCTATCTCCGCAGATAACCTCGGCCTAGCCGAGATCATCTAAGCGTCATGACTAAGACACGTGGCACTTTGGCTGACACGTCAGCATCATCTTGACCACGTGCTGTTATTCACAAAATATGCCCCACAACTACCCCATAGGTTCTATTACCTCGACATCCTAAGGTGATGGAACCTATACCATTTGTCCATATAGCACATCGGTTAGGACTTACTCCGTCCT